TGATGTCTCTATGACTGTCTTGATCTGCTATCACATGATACAGCCTCTTGATTGGGACAGGGCTTTTTTTTCCTCCCCAGGAGAGGCCATGTCATATTGGCCAATTCAGAAATTTTCCTTGTAGGTTTACCACATTATGATGCCATTACCTGCAGATGTCTAGTAGTGATATTTCCCCCCCAAATACAGTATTCCCTATTAGCAGAGGAAACAAGTCTTTCTCCTTCTAAAATAATCAGCCAAGGTATATGAAACATTAATGTAATTATGTGCAGTTGTCTAAGTCTTGTTCTTATGTTTCAAAAATTCACACTTTGGATAGGTAGGAAGGGAGAGGAGAAGGGAGGAAGAGAGAGAGAGAGAAAAGAAAGGGAAAAGGAGAGGAAGAAAGGGAGGGGAAGGAGAGGAGAAAAGAAGGAAGTTGAAAAGAATAGAAGAAGGGAGGGAAGGGTAAGAGGGGAGAAGGAGAGGAATGGTTGGTGTGGAAGAAGGGAGATATGGAATGATAGAAGAGCAACTCCAAATGTATTTTAAAGTTTTAGGATGAAGAATGAACCAATATGGAAACCAAAAGATAATATGTGTGATAAGAATGGTTAAAGAGATTGGAAATTTTATGTATGTTTAATGAGAAATAAAAATAAAGTTTTATTTTAAAAAATTCACACTTTGCTGTCTTCTGGAACACATTGAAAACTGAGCCAAAAGTATGAATAAAAACATAAAAGCATAACATATATATAGATATGTTAAAGTTTGAAATTACAAAGGAATTTCTGAAGGGCAAAATTAGGGGATTGAGGTTTACTGTTGTGTTTAAGCATTCTTCAGTCTACAGTAAATCATGGCCAAAGTTTATCATTTGTCTGGTTTGTTTTTCTCTAACAAGTAACACTTGGATTATCTATATTTTATCATTAGTATTGAGGCTTTTGAATGGGAGAATGCTATTTTTATGTAGGAAGCAAATATATGGCTAATCTGTTAATATAAGAAACATTACTCTCAAGTAGCATGTCCATCATACTTTTTATTTCCTATTTATTATTAGGGATTATAAACACAGAGAATATATGTTTAATGTTTCCAGGATGACATTCAGTTGATGAAATCTTTTGCAGCGCACACAGGGCCTTACCAGGTAACAGGGTTAAAATTGGCAAGATGGCAGATGGAGCATTACAGTGCAAACCTTATCTCTTTTGATGTGCATATGAAAGAGGCAGGATTTACAATGTGATAGTTTGCTCTGTAGATTAGCAGTTTAGACTCTCCCCTTGCAGACCTTTCTGTTCCTGCCTCCTTATTTTGTTTAGAGCAATTGTCAAAAATCACTGACAATTTTTGAAATAAAAACACACAAGCACTACAGAGTAAGCCATTTTTACACTATATAGTGTAAAAAAGGGGGATCCCATCACCCAGAGAATAAAAATGGTCAGTCATGATACAACTCTATCCATCTACTGTGATCCATGTCCTTTCCCCAAAGCTAAGTGTAGTTGCCACCCATCAAAAATATTGTTTACCCCTAACCTAGAACTTGATCCAAGATCCAAGATGCTTCAGCTCTTAACTTAACAAAAGACATTTCTTTCATTGTCTTCAAAGTTAGCTGAATACAAGCTTAAGAACTTCTCCCAGAATCAAACAACAACACTTAGGCATGTACCTTTTGTAATATTCCTCACATGATACATAATCAAATGCTGAATACTATCAGACTTTGCGAACAATCCTTTGACAATCATCCAGCTACCAATACAAGAGAAGGTTGATGAGTTTTATGATTGTTCATTTTGAAATCAACAAAGATGCAAGCAAGATGTGCTCTTTGGGATAGGAGAGTGGAATACCAAAGTTGGAAACTTGACTTGAATTGTATGATTTAAGGAAACTGAAATAAGGCTGGAGTCCGACTTGACAATTTCTGCCAGTCCAATTATTTCTTCATAGTTAACACTGTTCTCAAACAAACAAAATAATACCTCTACACATGGATATCAGCAGAAAGAGTATATAGAAATTAAATTGACTATATTATTGCTAAAAGGAAATAGAAGAACTCAATTATAGCATCAAAGATATGGCCAGGTGCTGACTTTGGAAAAAGTTCAGAAACTGCTCATGTGCAAGTTCCATGTTAAGCTAATGAAGAATAAAAAGAAAGTCAGTTTTCAGGATATGATCTTGAATATATACCCTCCATTTTCAAAGAGGACACCAGAAACTGCTATGAAGTCCTGAGCTTCATTGATAGAGAATCAGGTAAATTATAGAATGAACTTAAAGAAGATATTAAGAATATATGTGAAAAGTGACTGCCAAACATGAAGAAAGAGAAGAAAGCAAACTGGCTATCAGAACAAACCATGGACATTTGTCAAGAAGAGAAGAGAAGCCAAGAAAGACAAAGTTCCCAGAAAAGAATTAAATAATTTCAGAGACCTGTTAGAAGAGATAAGAAGCAGCATTATAACACCTGTAAAATCCTTGAAAGATGGAAAGAAATGGAAGAACATCTTTCAAAAGATCTTTGAACTCAGAAGGAAGTTCCAGACTTACTGTACATGAAAAGAGATGCCAGATGCTCAAACTGACTTTAGAAAAGGTTGAGGAACATAAGAAATTACTGCTGATGCATGATGAATAATTGAAAAAGGCAAGGACACTATGTGCTTAATTGTTTATAGAAAAGCCTTTGATTATGTTGAGCAAGTTAAGCTGTGGAATTCGCTCTGAAAAATATGAATCCTCAAATATTGCATTGTTCTCATCTTATATACAGATAAGAAAGCCACAGTATAAACAGAACACAGCAAAACAGACTGGGTTCAGATTGGCAAAGGAATGTGACAAGGTTGTAGTCTCTTATTTATTCAGTCTATATGCTGAATATATATATATTAAGGGAAGCTGGATTGGAGATGATGTGTGGTTTTAAAATTGGAGGAAGAAACTTCAATAACCTGTGCTATGCTGATGACAGTATTCTGATAGCAAAAAATACAACAGATCTGCAACCTCTAGTAATGAAAGTCAAAGAGCAAAATGAAAAAAAAATGAAACAAATTGAAATATAAAGAACACCAAACTAATGACCACAAGTAGGAAATCTATCCTTAGAACTGATAAAGATAGCAAAGTGATATATAGCTTCTACTTTTTAGATCAACTACTGGCAAGTCAAGAAATGTGCCATACATTAAACTTGATAAAGCAGTCCTGAAGGCCTTGTTAAATATATTCAAATGTCATATGTCTATACCTACAAAAATGAAAACTGTGAAGACATAGTATTCCCTGTGACAATTCCCTTTTGCTATGGAAGCAAAAGTTAGACTTTGAGGAAGCAGCATAGGAAGACTATTGATGCCTTTGAACTTTTATTTTGGATAAAGCTCTTAAAACATTATGGACAGCCAAGAAAACAAGCTAATGGATCATTGAACAAATTCCAGAGTTTTCATTAGATTGGGCTCAAATTTATTCATTTATATATTTATCTCCCACTTTTATTATTTTAACAAATAAGTCAAGGCGGCAAATATATCCAACACACCTTCCTCCTCCTATTATCTCCACAGCAATCTTGTGAGGAGGGTTCAGCTGAGAAGAGAGAGTGACTGGCCCAAGGTCACCCCACTGGCTTTAATGGCTAAGGTGACACTTGAATTCATGGTCTCCTGCTTTTCAGCCTGATGCTTTAAGTACTAGACCAAACTGACTTTTTAAAAAAACATTATCCTAAATTTATCCTTTTAAAAAAAAAAAAATATCCTAACTCAAGACACATTATGTGAAAACCTAGCCCTCTAGAGAAAACTTTAATGCTGAGAAAGATGTAAGAGAAGGACAACCATTAGCAAAGTGGATGGATTTAATTACAGTGGTGATTACTACACTGTTGGAAGACCTGAGAAGACCATGTTAGGGAAAGATGGTCAGGGAGAAAAATCTATCCTTGTGGTTTTTAGGAGTAAAAAATATTTGATGGCACCTAATCAAGTCATCAATCAAAGCATACTGTATGTCATTTATCTGGGAGTAAACTGTACTGATTGCAGACTTATTCGGAGGGTGTAGGTACTCTTTATTCCTTATATCCTTTCCAGGCTTCTGTTCTAGAAAGGCTATAGTCAGCATGTTGTACAAAATAATTGTTCTTCTTGGACCTTTTTAAAAAACTGAACCAACAGTCCTGGGATTGGCAACAAACTGTGATGTTGGTAAGTTTATATTCCATACTAAACCAACACCTTTCTAAAAAGTCGACTTTGTGATTAAATGTAATACATAAATCAAGCCTGCTGACAATCTATTTCTACTCCCCCCCCAAGACAGCAACTTATTATGCATTTTCAATTGACAGCTTAACCATGTGATGCAAATTCTTAAATAGTGTCACCCGCTCAAGTCTTCTGCAAACATGTATTGCTGTCTATTATAGATGGACACAGGACGTGACTGCCAGGTATTATTTATGACAAGCCTGTAATGTACTGCGATTCTATTACTTTCATACAGTAGAGGTTGGAATGATCGTCATAGCAATTTGTCCGATTGTCTTGTCTGAAAGGAACGCCTGAGTAAATATCACCTGTGATATTGTGGTTGTGTAATTCTTTCAATCACTCAGTCGTACTGCGACGGGTAAAGAGGACTTGTGGGGTGGGGTTTCCTTTCCTAGGATTACCTCTAGAAAAACATTTATCATACAAATCTACCTTAAACTGAAACAAAAGTTAACTCTCTTTCTCTTCCCCCCCAAACTCAACGGAAAGTCGGTGGTCGCGGTACTAAAAGACGAATGAAGACATTAAAACGCACAACAGACGCGCAATTTTCCAGCTCCATATAGCTTTTCAGTTCACGATTGGAGCAAATTGCGGGCTGAGAGGCTCTGATTGGGCTACTAGATTAAGGCAATAGCCAATCAGAAGAACTCTCATTTTTTTTCTATAAAAGCCGGGGCGGAGTTTAGAGTAAGCAGAAGTAATGCTTGTAGAATCTAGATTTCACCGGAGCTGAAAGAGGTGGGGAACCTTCGCGTGATTTACTCCCCGCACCACCAAGCTGCAGGCATCTACTCTAATTCTGTGCTTTTGTAAAATAAATAAAAGGCTAATTTATTTTTTTAAAAATCTGGAGGTAGCTATTTATATATTTATTTTTTAAAAGTCCATAGTTTATTTTTTGTTTCAACTTGGATTATCTGAAGACTCTCCGACCGCCTGTATTTTTCTTAGGATAAAGGTAAGAGGCTGGAATTCCGGGAGCTGGGCTATTTATTTCACCATACAATAACTCGCTCCTACTGGCGAGTGGCTTGTTAGCGTGCTGTATGGGTCGAGAGAGCAAGTCCAGACATGTCTTTGAACTTGGTATCGTTAATAGAGATAACTAACTTGACAGGGTCTACTTAAGCATAATAATAATTCCTATGTCTATCAACTTTGTATTATGTCTATGAAATAATACAAAGGGGGCAAGGGGGGGAAGAGAGAACCAGGAGTGAAAGGTTTCCTATATTTTCCAAATAAGGATTCCCGAAAGGAAAGTGAGTGAGATAAAGCCAGCTGTGCTAGAGAATGTTATTAAGATGTTACTTGATACATTCATTTGGTTAAACTTGGTCACACTTAACTCGGTGTCTCTCAAACATGCCCATTTAGCTGTTTGGCAGCTCAGTCAAGTCCAAGGTTTCTAGAAGCCGCTAGATAGTGACAGGCTAATTTAACAGATTTATTATGTAAGGATCCTCTAATAAATTATGGTTAATCTTTTCCTACTGGGAGAAAGCAAGGATTTCCTAGTGAGGGGAGTCAGGATAATGTTCACAGCAGTGCTCTGTAACTAATACAAAATTAATGGACTGGTAAATAAATCCTAGGCTTCAACCTATTGTGTGTGCTGCTCTTCACAATGTCTTAAAAGCTTAAATTATAGGCCATTTATAGAATTACTGTTTAAATATTTCACTTTTTAAAAATTAAAGAAAATATAGAAATATAATGAAGGTGGGATCATGATATATGAAAAACAGCACTGTGGATACAATGGCTCTGTTACAACTTTAATTCATATTTGTATTTTTAACCTCTTCAGAGGCTCGGTTTATATACTCTATTCAATTAATCCAACCATTTCTGCTCATTTTCCCCTTCTTGTTAAGCTTCATTTTGTTTGTGCATTTTGTGTTACTTCTGCAAATGTTACATATGTGGTTAAAGAGTAGACGTGCAGCAGGATCTCTGCAGCTTTGCTGAAAGGTGCAAAAGCAAACAAACTTCTCTAAGTGTTTTGCTTAATCTAAATTTTGTATTTCAGATGATTGATACCTTTGCAACAAATGGGACTGAGTTACTAGTGCAGCTCAATGGGTTGCTTGAGCAGGAATTAAGATATCAGCCAAAGGTCTCTGGCTTGCGAATAATTGAAGCAGCTCATGATAATGGGCTCCGGATGACAGCAAGATTGCGGGATTTTGAAGTGAAAGACCTGCTTAGTTTGATTCAATTCTTCGGCTTTCGCACAGAGACGTTTTCTCTTGCCGTGAATTACTTAGATCGTTTTTTATCAAAAATGAAGGTAGGTTTTTAGAGTATGAATTTACAGTATAAGCCAGTTTATTTCTATTTTGACGCAAGTCTTTACAGATTACTGCTAATTTGGTTTTCAGCTGCCAAAGAAAATTTTATCACTACAGCATTAGTCCTAATGTAATCCTAACATGCAGTTTTGCCATGTAAATCTTTTTAACTGGAATCAACACTTATTTTTAGCTGAATATATAGTATATAAACAGCTCATAGATGGAGCATTTACATCAGAATTTATAGCAGCTAGTATGGCTTAATATCATTACAAATACCAACTGCATTTGGACTTTTCAGGATGTTTAATAAGGACCAACAAGGGAACCTACTATGATTATTTAAAACTTTTCCTTGCCAGTCTTATTAACAGTACCAGAGTGTTTTTTTTTTCCTTTTGGTAAATGCAGATTATCCTTTCATAGCCTAGTACTAGATTGTTTGACTGCAACTCCCATAATTCTCATGGTGTCTGTGGTTCCTGGAATCTCTAGTTCATTGCAGAAGATTGTCTTAATAGATCTTTCTGTTGCCTTATGCAACGTACATTGTTTCAAGCTTCTGTACCTGTTTTTGGAGAAGAGACTGAATGGATCTGTGTGGTCTTTAAAAGTTCTGGGTTCTTCAGTGAAGCAAAGATGAGAGAAGTTCCAAGCAAATGCATCCCTCTAATAATATGTTTTAGAAAGTGCTATTTTAGATGGGTGGGTGCCTTTCTGACCATTATACTGAACTAAATTGCTTTGAGGGATAATGTACAATGATAGGTGCTTGATTGATGTTGAACAGCAAGACATGAAAGCTTACTTTTCTGAACAATAGACAAATTAATTGCTTGGTACCAAAGTGGTTCCACACTGGGAATTCTTATTTTCTTGTAAATAAGCACACTAAAAGTTTAAAACATAGCATAGTAGAAAACAGATAGCCCAATCTTAACATTTTTAGGTCAAAGGTTCAATGGACTTACATAATATTTACTTTGTAGGTTTGCAATGTGTATATAAACTAAGTATATTGTAACTTCAACTGAAAGTCTTTTCTTCTCCTAGGTGCAGCCAAAACACTTGGGCTGTGTTGGCTTAAGTTGCTTTTACTTGGCTGTGAAAGTCATGGAAGAAGAGAGTAATATTCCACTAGCTACTGACTTAATCCGAATAAGTCAGTATCGGTTTACTGTTAGTGACCTAATGAGAATGGAGGGAATTCTTTTAGAGAAGCTACATGGAAAAGTAAAAGCAACAACTGCCTTCCAGTTTCTGCAACTTTATTGTTCAATTCTGTGTGACAGCATCAACTGTGAAAGGTAAGTGTCTTTTTCTGGACCAATTTGGAAGTGTCAATTCCTTTAGACCAAAGACAAATTTATGGAGAGAAAATGTCCTATGTTGCTAGCAAGGTGTGGTAAATATCCAAGAATTCCTTTTTAAAATAATCCAGGTGTGCATTTGCAATTCAAATTTTAATCATGGGGTTGAAACCATTAAACAATACCAAATATATGTACGTTATAGCAGACAGACATTCTGGTTTTAAGAGGTATTGATATTTATAAGACTGTGATGTACAATTCTATTAATCCCACACAGCAGTTTGAAGTGTTATTAGAATCCCATCAGATTTAACCTATCTGAAACAGGGTTGAATAAATACCACTTAATACATTTGTGTAAATCCAGTATTCATTCTTGCCATGCCATCATAGTTAGATTACAGTAGTGGTTACACGGTGGAACTATTTCTCCTTGCCTCTTAAATAGTAACTTTCTGTTAGGGGTCTTTGAGGTTTCTAGAAAAACATTTTCATACAAATGTAGCTAATCTGCATGCAGATAAATGCAACCCAGTTAACTCTTTAATAACCCGATTTACCTCAATCCTGCAGAATGCAGTGGAAAATGTCCTTGTGTAGCTTTGATCATAGTGCAAGAACTGCATGGATGAACCAAATGAAAACAGAAAATAAAGGGCAATCAATATTCAATTTTGCTAATCCTCTGTAGTTACTCACTCTCTACTCAGAGCAAGTTTCTGAATAAAGGTTTATGATTTATTTACCAAAAATACTCTTATGTACCTGAATGTAATCTTGGCCTGAACTACTGTTAATTTCTGTTTTTAAATATGGTATGAGTGAAACATGAATGTATTTAGATGATTTTTTTATAATTTGAGAATTTAGAGCTGTGTTGTTAAATATTAGGTAATGTGCATTTGATTTAACTTAAAAAAATCCACTTTATGCTGTTAGTTTTTCATATCTTCTACCTACTCAGTTTATTTTTTACTTTGTGCTAATCCTTATATAAACATATTGAAAATCAACAAATTAACCTTTGTTTTATACAGGAACGATAATCTTAAATTAGAGAGACTTGAAGCCCAACTAAAGGCCTGCCACTGCAGACTTATTCTTTCAAAAGCAAAGGTATGGGCTATGATTAATTAATGATCAATTCAGTTTTGTAAAAGCTTAACATATTTGATTGATCTTAATTATTTTATTTTTCACTAGCCTTCAGTATTGGCACTTTCAATAATGGCTCTAGAAGCTGAAGAGGAAAAAGTACCAGAATTGGTTGAAATAATACAGTGTCTCCGAATACATTCCAAGGTAGGCCATAATTAAATATCTGTTTGATATTTACTTTTAACTTTATTAACTTGGAAATATGATGACTGCCTTCTTAAGATAGGTACGTATCAACCAAGGGTGCTTTCAACTAAAAATGTTTGGTTTAGTTTGGTTAGAGGAAGACAGAAATAGCTATCTAAGTGGCAAGAGAAACAGAATAATTTTCAGGAGAATCCTTGCTGACAGTTTTGGGAAACATATTTTTGAAGAGATCTCAAGTATATGTTTGGAGTCACAATTTCAATCTCTTGCAAATATCTTTAACAATAGTTATTTTGCATTTCAACGTTAAAATAACTTGTGTGGCTTAACTCCTGTCATAGCAAATAGTGCAGTTCAGCAGATTTCATTGTTTAATTACTTGTTAAAATGGAATAAAGTAGCTGGCTTAGATTTCCAACCAGAAAGTCCCTTAGTGCTTAGCAGAATGGTAGTTAAAGGGCAAACCTGACACTAGGAAACAGAATATAGTTCTGGATTAAGGGTGCTGATATTTGGGCAGTGGTGAAGGCCAGCTGAGTAGGAATGCTGTGAATGAAAACTTTTACAGCTTATAAATTTAGAAACCTTTTTGTGGAGGTATGGTGAGGTTCATAGGCTAATTCATAGATTAGCCGTGATTTGTTGAATTAGCCCCATGAGGTGGTCCAATATAAACACTAGACAATCATTATTTTCCAGATCACATATTAATTTGTGTGTATGTTCATGGATTTTACTTTATTTGACCCACCTGGTTTTATATATAAATTCATTAATTTTTAGTTTATGGTAGCTCAGCAGACTAAAAGCATTGTGATTAATACCAGCTGTCTTCAATTACTGTAAGTTCGAATCTCACCAGCCTCAAGGTTGACTCAGCCTTCCATCCTTTCTAAGATAGGTTAAATGAGGACCCAGTTTGTGGGGGCAATAAGGTGACTTTGTATAAATATACAAAAGTATGAAGGCTATTGCTTAATGCATTGTAAGCCGCCCTGAGTCTCCAGAGAAAGGCGGCATATAAATCAAATAAAAAAAAAATGGTAATATCAAAAATGGTAATATCAATATACCATAGATTATGGTATAAAAAGTCTTAAATGGTAATATCAAAAATGTCAGGGCTTTGAAGACCTGCATTTCCTAAAGACCAAATGGAGAACATTTCAAGTCTTAAAACTGGTCATAAACTGATCATTTATTTCTCTCAAAGTATTTGGAAAGTTCAGATTATTCGCTCTGCTGCAATGAAAGAATTGAGTGGATTTAATTGTAGGAAACACTGGCAAGTTTGTGTTTCTGGGCACAATTCAAAATTTTTATAACTCTTAAATTCTTAAATTTGGATTGAAGTTATTTAAATGATTTCATTCCTTCTTATGAGTGTATTTAAATCTTTACATCTTTTGGAAGGGCACACCTATTTTTTTAACTATTAGAGATACATTTGGTGAAAGCATGAACCTTTTCAGTTTTATTTTATGGGCTATATTTGCAAATGAATCAAATTTTATGTATGTGTGTGTCAGTAGTGGGTTCCACTTACCTTTGCTACCGGTTCGGAATAGGGAGCGCGCGAGTGTGTGTGCTTGCTTTGCTTGCGCGCTGCGCTTCTGCACATGTGCAGAGCATCCATGATGATGTCTGGGTAGGTGGACGGAGCTTCCCGCCGCCGCCACTACCGGTTATCCCGAATCGGGGCAAACCGGTAGAAACCCACCACTGTGGGTTCTACTTACCTTTACTACCAGTTCACAACGGGATCGCTCGCGCATGTGCCTTGCTTCTGTGCATGCGCAGATCACTTCTGATGATGTCAGGGTCAGTGGGCAGAGCCTTCTGCCGGTTTTACTACTGGTTCTATAGAACCGGTCAGAACCGGGCGCAACCCACCACTGCACCACTGGTGTATGTGTATGTATATATTGATACATAAATTTTAACTATTTTTTCTCTGATGTATAACTATATTTTATTGTAAATCAGTAACTTTAACACTAAAGTCTCATTGTTGAGAAATTTATTTGAAAACATACTGTTTTATTTTACATTTTTCCCTAGACAGTGATATATTGCGTACAGTACTGAAATTATTTTTTTAATTATTTACCTAAAACATCTTGCATATATATATTTTATGACAGATACTAATAACTAATTTTGAACCTGCTTGCATTTTGGTGTATTTTCCGGCAATAAATCATTTTTAACCTCATATTTATATCTCCAGAGTTTTATAGTATCTTGACAACCTAAAATCTTATTAAATAAGCTAAAGTTATGAATTGAATAAGTATTTTTAAACTCACACGATAAATGAAAATATGTCAGTTATTATGTGTTATCTGATCAACACTGACATGTATTAGTTGCTCATGAGTGGTACTGATTGGTTTTTAATTTCCCATTTTTTTCCTATAGATAAATAGTAGAGAATTTTCCTTTTGGAAAGAACTTGTATCAAAGTGCCTCTCAGAATATTCCTCAAGCAAATGTTCTAAGCCAAGTGGACAAAAGCTAAAATGGATTGTGTCTGGTCGCACAGCCCGGCAACTGAAACACAGTTATTACAGAATTGCCCATCTTCCCACAATCCCAGAAACTGGTCCCTAAAAAGGTGAACTTTCTAAATGTGTTTTTGACTCTGTGTCATAGGAATAATTTAAAAGCTACACCAAAAAACTTAAATAGAATTTTTAACTATTCTGAATTCTTGAGTTGAAATAAAAATAGTGTAAAAGTTTCAGCAATCTTTTTAGGAATCTGGAAGATATAACTTTGTATGAACAAAAATATGTATATGTATATATATATATATATGGTTCAGAAAAAAATGTCTAGGGATTTATAAGGAAAACATGTTGAAAGCCTATTGAAATCTAGTTTCTGTTCTATATTCTCAAGTTTCCTAATGTGCTTCAGTATACAGGTAGTTCTCGCTTACTAACTGTCCTGTTTAGCCACTGTTCAAAGTTACAAAGGTGCTGAAAAACTTAACTTTAGTTCCTTCAATTACAATTGTCACAATTGTTTCTCTGATTACATGATTATTATTTGAGAGTTTCACAGCGGGTTTCCAGAGTCTGGAGAAGCTGGCAGTGAAATCACAAGTTGTAGTTACATGATGTCTCACTTAGCAACGGCATCACATAGTGCTATAGTGACCAATCCCAATTGCACTCCTGAAGATTACCCATATCCTTTGTTGCTAATATACTTGCCTGCATTGTTCAGTTTAAAACGGCACAAAAAGCTGTTCGTAGTAGATGAGCATGTAATAGTCAAGAGGTAAAACCCTAAACTATGAGAAATATACCATATTTTTCAGAGTATAAGACGCACCGGACTATAAGACGCACCTACCTTTTTTGGTGAGGAAAAGAAGAAAAAGAAATCTCCCTCTGCCTCTAAGCAATTTTGCCTCGTTGGAGCAAACAGCAAACAGCCTGCCTTACTTTCATTTTCATTTTCAACATAGCTTGATTAGCACAAGGGGAAAAAGAAAAATCTGTTCCAGCAATTTACCTCTTTGCAGCAAGCAGCAGAGCCCTGTGCAAAACAGCTGAGAGCAAATCAGCTGAGAGTCGGGAGGCCAATCCAATCAACTTGTGCTAATTAGGCTTTGAAGCTAAAAGGAGCCGTTTTTTTCTTGCTGTTTGCTTGCAAGGAGGTAACTGCTGTGAGGCAGAGGCCAAAGGGTGGGGGCCAGTGGGTGGGTGGGGCTACATTCTGTATATAAGACGCACCTAAATTTTCACCCCTTTAGGGGAAAAAGGTGCGTCTTATACTCCGAAAAATATGGTAAATGTGGAGTTTTCTTACAGTTTGTATGAATATAAATGTACTTTCATACAGAGTCCCCCCTTACCGACTATTTGTTTGGTTAAGACCTGTCTTTGAACTTGCCATCACACCATCCCAATAGTCATGTGATTGTGATTCAGGTACTGGCGCACATTTTACAATGGTCACCGCATCCCACAGTCATGTAATTGCCTTTTGCTTCATAGCCAGCCTCTAAAAAGCAAAGTCAATAGAGAAGCTGTCTGGAAGCTTGCAAGTCTAGTTGAAACTAATTTTGTAAGTGGGTTGTGGCATTTCATTTTATGACTGAGTTGCTTAGCGACAGCTTTGTTGATCCCCAATTGTGGTCAGAAAGTGAGGATTACTTGTAATCTTAAAGACCTTAATTAATGGGAGAATAGAGAATTCACCTTTACAAAACCAGGATCCTTTCAGATACTTTAAACTTTCATTCCAGCAATGCCTTGCTGATAGGGTTATTGCCATCCATGACAGTGCATTCAGCAAAGATTACAGTACAGGTAGTCCTTGACTTGCGACCACAACTGAGCCCCAAATTTCTGCTGCTAAGTGAGACAGTTGTTACATGAATTTTGCCCATTTCACGAACTTTTTTGCCTTTCTTGACACTCAAGTGCATCACTACAATTGTTAATAACATGATTATTAAGTGAATCTGGCTTCCCAATTGACTTTGCTTGTCAGGTCGCAAAAGGTGATCATGTGACACTGGGATGCTGCAACCGTCATAAATATGAGTCAGTTGTCAAGCATCTGAATTTTGACCATGTGACCATGGGGATGATACAACAGTCGTGTGAAAAATGTTCATAAGTCACTGGTTTCAGTGTCGTAACTTCTAACGGACGCTCAGTGAACTGTTGTAAGTAGACGACTACCTGTAATATAGATAGTTTTGTTTAATAACATAAAAATGGAATAGTCAAAAAATTAGGATCTTCAAAAGAGATAAATTCCTGTTTGTTGTTTTAGAATGCATTACTTGTAAACAATGCTAATTCACCTCATATTTGCATCAGTGTATTTTATGTTACAATAATTTTCAAATTTCTTTTTGATTTAGTGGTAATCCTGAAGAAGAGCAGATGGGACATTGGCCACATATGTTTAATCAACAAGGATATAAGCTTTCTGGTGCTGAAACAGAATTTCTTGGATTCTTCTGGCCTATGGAAAGTCTGATTTCATGAATATTAAACTGCAACCACATTTTTTTAAGCTCTGAACTATACAGCAATATAGTGTGTTGCCACAAGACTTAATTTTCTCAAGATTCTTAATAAAACTGAAGATTTTTTTTTATAAAGCAATGTTTAGGGCTAAAATACAAACAAGTCAGATGCTTTTGTTTTTATCTGCCTTCTGGAAATGTGAAAACGTGAGTCATAAGCTTGATCCTTAATTCTGCACTTCTGAACTAAATGGTGGTAGAAGATGAATATGAAAATGAACATAACTATCACTAAACTAGTAAAATAGATATGCATGTATTTTCTAGAGAGAGTAGAACATTACTAAGGGAAAGAAAGTTGCTACATCTAATTCATGGTAATGGTAATAATGATTGAGAAACTGTAACTAAGAATTTCAAATCAATCCAAAATTAAATTCCTTTAAACTAGAAGTGGGGAACTACGGCCCCTTTATGAGCATGGATGCCTCAGGGATATTGGGAGTTTAAGTCCACAAATCATAAAAGAGTCATAGTTCCCCACTTCTGCTTTAAACCTTGATTCACATTAGAGGTTGGGAATTGAATTAAAGATATGTTAGTCCTAGATCATTCTGAGTTCAAGAGCCAAATTTAGAGATCTGTATTTACAGTGTATTAACATAAAGAATACATTTTTAGCAAGTATCATTACAGTTCAGATTGTAGCCAAGTAAATTTGAAAGAAGTTGGAAAGTCGCTGTGGAAATTAAAGCTGTTTGAAGAATGCAAGTCAGGCACCAGCTGAGAATGTGGGCAATGTCTAAAAATAGAATTAACATTTTAAATTTCTCCCAGAGTGTTTCACCTCAATCTTTAGTTCTGTTTGCATGTACCAAAATTGGTGGGGCAAATTAAGCATGATTTAAGCTCTGCATTTCACTGCAAACTGCAGCTAATTTTACTGCACTTTCCTGGTTTGGATTAAACTTTACAGGTTGCTATTAGAAGCATAAAAAGTTCTATGTTTATATTAAGCATGTATTTTGGGAAGTGTGTCTCTGATTTTGGATTACCATCAAGCTTTCAGTAAAACATGTTAAATCATTTCAAAGCATAGAATTTAGCATTATGCTACTTTAAACAGTTTTAATTCTTTCCAATTTATGTATTCTACCATACCATAGTGTGTGCTGCTTTGTTCAGCCCAAAGTTGGAGTGAATTTTACTAGGAAGAACTATGGGAGCTGATGCTAAAAGCTAGGCAGGATTAAACTACTATTTTGCTCATTCTATTTATAATTATCAGTTGATTCAGATGAATAATTGAGGTGGAATAATTGAGCACAAGTTGTGTATTGCGATTTCTTGAATGTTAAAAGCCTAAGGAAGCAACAGTTGTTACCCAGCAATGACCTGTTAAATCAACTGTCAACATGTTCAATAGCTTTTGGACTTCGGTTCTTTTTAAATCACTTTTTGCAAGGTCTGTTTGTAGTTGTATTGTGTTCAATTTAGTATTCTCCCTAAGTACAGGCATTTTACTGGTTGTTTAAACTGCTACAAGAAAAACTGAAAGGATAATGCAACAATTCTTATCTTTTTAATTTTAGCACATATACCTGGTGTAATTTCACATTGTTTACTTAAAGCTGACTGGCTTGTCTTTAGAATCAAAGTAACAAATTTAGGAGACTTACTACAATTACAGAAATCTGAAGACTTGTTTTTGGTTTAACCCAGCATTTGGACAAACCATTTACTTCTACCTCATTGCAAGCTGCTCTTCAGAACAAAACTGATGGGAAGTTTACTCAAACTATCATTTTTATGGACGTTATTAATTGAATAATTGTATCTTATATGCCTTTAGTATTTGAAGATTGAAACTGAACAATGTTCAATATGTTTACAGTGTCAAGAAGGAACAAACTCGTTATCAAAATGTCCTATTATGCCTATAAGCAACAAGAGTACCTTTCAATAAAACACATTGAAATGGAATTGCATGAATTGAATGGCCTTGGATTGTGAAAGTAACTTGCTTAAAGAATATTAAAATGTGTTAATATTTATTGTGTTCTAAACAAGGCTATATGTTGAGATATGTATGCCTGTGTTTACAAGACCTGGTTATGCCGGGTCAGACACATACCTGGAACACACTTTGCTAGCAATCATTGTGGTGCACTTTTGATGCTCTCCCAGCAATTGCAAAGAAAAACTTTCAGAAAATGTAATTTCTGCAGCCTAATAGAATTGATTACAACACAGCTGGGCTTCCGGGAACTTACCTTGTCTCTAAAACAGATCAACTAACTTGGATTTGGAAATGGGTGTTGTGTGAATTCATTTACTCTGTTCCTAGATTATGGATAGCAATAGCACTCACTTATATACCGCTCCATATTGCTTTACACACACTCTGAGCTTTACAACATCAGCATATTGGTCTAAACAGTCTGGGTCCTGGCCTTGGAAAGCTGAGTCAACCTTGAGCTGGTTAGGATTAAACTCCTGGCTGTGGACAGTTAGCCTGCAATACTGCATTCTAACCTTTGCACCAATGGTGGTTAGATATTTTGGATTTCAGCTTCTAGTCATCTGAGCCTCTATGGCCAATAATAAAAAATATATCTGGAAGTCCACAGATGATACTAGCCTAGATTTAAGGCATTTAATTTGGAACCCTATCTGTAGAGAATGATAAAACCACGTACAACTGTGTTCAAGGATTTAAACTCCCCTGTTCAAGTAGTACATTTTAGTGAATACTATTTTCCTGCAAATTTGAATGCATAATTATCACAATTGTTTATAGATTCAAAAAAAAATGTAAAATACGGCAAGTGCAGAAGTCTGGACACTGACTACACTCAATCAGTCATTGTAGAATCAGATAGCATACAAGTTTAAAAAATTACACCTATGGCAGAAATAACAGCTTTCAAGTTTCCTGTAGCCAGCTAAGAATTTCTTCTTGTGGAATTTTTCCCACACCCCTTTGTAGATTTCTTCCAGCTTAACAATATTTGGTCTCCATTGGCTGCATGTTTTGAGATTTTTTGCAGATTTTCAACAACATTCATCTAGGAATTGAAAAGATCATTCAAAAACCTTCATACTTTTCTTTCCTGTGAGCACATCATGGTTTGAAGATCATTGCCTTGTCAAAATATTTGTTTCCAACATCCTCATATAAGTACCGTTTCCCTGAAAACAAGACATCTCCTCATAATAAGCACAATTGGGCTTTTGAGCACATGCACTAAAATAAGCCTCCCCCTGAAAATAACCCCTCCCTGAAAATATCAGGTAAGACAGCAAGAGTAGCCCTATCTTGCTCCACCCGTCCAAAAATAATAAGACCTCCCCGAAAATAAGGCCAAGCGCTTATTTCAGGGTTCAAAAAAATATAAGACAGGGTCTTATTTTCGGGGAAACACTACTACTGATAATTACTTGTGACAATGTTATTTGGGCTTGATGTATTTTTTCTTTCCTCACGCTTTGTATTTCAAGTCTGCCTTAGGCATACAAAATCAATTTTATTGATTCCATTTCCTCAATTTGTATAAACAATACAAGTTCTCCTTGTGGCATCTTAATAGCTGAAATAGCAGCCTTGAATTCTTAGCAGACAAAACACTTAGCATTCCCTGGCAATGTACAATTAAAACATACTATAGAACAAACTGAGGTAGTTTAAATCTTTTTTAAACATGAAAATTACTACTTCACTTTACTATAGATAACTAAACATGTCTAAGCATAAAGATACAAAAATTATAGATAGGGCACACATGGTTAGGGAGTGAATCAGACTACAATTAACTCTCATTCTGTTAATTGGATGAGTATATACATGCATAAAGCAAAGTGTGGTGCAACTATTAGAATTTTTCATTACATATGATGTATGTACTTTCTTCTTGCGTATATAAACAAAAGATATATGCCATGTTGTCCAAATGGATTTCCAGTCACTCAATGAGAATTAAGCTCATTGTTTTGTCCTGCCACTGGTTCCATAAACTCTAACATGCTGCAGCCAATTTGGGATGCAAAAGGAAGCTTTTTGGGTAGTCCAGGAAAGGAGCATCACAGGATACAACCCAGATCTTTTTAACAAAAGTGTTACATGCTTGACTATAAATCCACACCTTGGGCTGCAGAAAAATATAATTGTCAGATTAAGCAGAACTATGTTGCATGAAAAAGTTCACATGCTTTAATTATTTTATGAAGTGTTCCAGCCAGTTTGATATATAACACAAAGGTGCCCAAAATCGAAACAAGAAGTCAAAAATCTTCCTTGGCATGCAATAGTTCTTTAAAGTGGCTAAAATGGTTTTCTGAATTTCATTAAGAAAATATACACACTGGAACTCCTATTCTTATAAAGAATGTCAGGGATAAATTTATGAACGCGAAATGGCTTTACCCAAGATTCATATTGCATGTTATGCTTTGAACAGTACAGTTTGGCACAAAATTATGGAAGGTATTAATTATACCAGATTTTAACATTACTAGTTTTAATGACTCTTCTATGTTGAAGTTGGCTTAGTACAAATTTTCAGGATGGGAAATCTGTTTTTAATCATTAGCCTTCAAAATGTGTTTATAGCATTTAGGTAGTAACGTTTTTTTACTTATCTGCTTTGCCAAAGTTATAAGCCAGATCACAGACTTTCAAGAAAAATATTACTGGCTTATCAATTAACAATTTAAAGTGAAACTGTATGCTGTTAACCTTGCAGAACAGTGTCATCATACAAATAATATTGATCTGAGTATGCATGAAATGTTTATTTTTAATTACTGTCAAGTGCAATTCTGGTAACAGTCATTATTTTGTGGTTTAAAGCTGTCCAGAAAAAAACAGTAAGCTATTCTGAAGCTTAATGCTTTGTCATTTTGGAGAAACTGGAAGAAATATAGCTGAAAGGACACACTATCTTTCAAGACTAGAAAAGTCTGGCCCTCCTTTGGTATAATTTCCAGAAATTTCTGCTCCACTGAAGTCAAATCCAGGGTTCTGCAAGAGAAGGCATAGCATTTTATTTATATTCTTGCTGAATACACCTACTGGGATATATTTCAAACTAAGACTACACAGAATTCTGTTATGTATGCTTTTGAACATTTTCTATTTACTGTATTAGTACCTGAAGAATATAAATAATTTTAAATTGCCTGTATATAATTTATTTCATAATATTTATATCCTGCACCTATGCAAATGCCTCTTCTATTTCTTCCATCTTCCCCTCATTTTTAAATAAAGCTAAATGTAAAAACAACCAGCTGTGTTCTAGCAACATTAATAACACATTTGAAATGTGAAATTAAATGTCAGAATGTACTGTATTTTTCAGACTATAAGACGCTTCAGACTATAAAACGCACCTAGCTTTTGGGGAGGAAAACAAGAAAAAAAAATCTGCCTCTGCTTCCCAGCATCAATCTGGTATGGTCCGTGGTCCGGATCATGTGGTCCGTTTGCTGCAGCCCATTCACTGAGGCCAGTTTGCCACCGCAGCCCATTCGCCGCCACCACCGCCTTTCGCCACCACCTGTTTGCTACCACCACAGCCCGTTCGCCGCCGTGGTCCATTCTAGAATAGCTGATCTGCGCCGCACCAACCCCTACCCCGCCGCTATATTCGCTGTATAAGATGCACAGACATTTCCACCCACTTTTTTTGGGTGGGAGGGGGGAGAAGTGTGCTTATATTCTGAAAAATATGGTATTTAAAGTACACTCCATGAATCTTGATCCTGGTAAATTAATATAGAACTTCGGATAATAGTATATGATATATATGATATTATATTCTGATATAGATGGTCTGTAAATATATTTTTTATTTGTTTATAATACCTTGTCTATGAAACAGGGTTTTAAATGAAAATATCACTTAGCAATAGCACTTAGACTTATATACTGCTCCATAGTACTGTACAGCACTCTTTGAGGGGTTTACAAGTATCAGCATATTGCCTCTCACAATCTGGGTCCTCATTTTATTGATCTTAGAAGAATAGAAGGCTGAGTCAAGCTTGAACCAGTCAGGATTGAACTGACTGTGGGCAGAGTTTGCAATACTGCATTCTAACCACTGGGCCACCATTGTTTTACAATATAGGTAATATTGAGTCGCCATGGGCGAATAGGCGTCAATATAAATTCAGTAGATAAACAAACAAACATCTATTGACTTGCCTCTCTCTGGAACCTTTCTAATGTAAGCTTCCTTTGCATTTGGTCTTGAACCCAGGGATCAGCAGCATACTCATTCTTCAGCAGGGAACTCCAACAGTTTCCAGCATCACGGTTGGTTTTTGTCAAGGTGATTCGTATCAATTTCTGATCCTCTTTTCAAACAAAAAAACACTGGATTTATTCACAATTATTTGAAAGAAGAGGATGATTAGGTTGATGGACTAAATTATAGAACCAAGAGTACACTGTTAGAAGACAAAGTTGAGGACAAATTATCCTGGAGAAAATCTATCTATGTGATCCCTAAAATTCAGCACTGATTTGATGGCATATAATCATAATAAATGCTCATATTTTGAATTGTAAGGAAGTACAACACAAATTTTGTAGACATCCTCAGTTGTTTTCCAGAGTGAAGGGACAAAGTCTAATGATATTCCAACTGAGATTAACTTAATGCAATTGCTCGGGTATAGTCCTATTTTCCTTTACAGCTAAAAAAACGGACAGATACTTGTACTAATTATGATAAATTTCAGGTTGTTAGAAATCAGCAAGATGTTTCATGAATTTCTAAGATGGTCAGTGCAACATGGGGAAGAACTTTTCCGTTCTCCCACGTTCTGAATGCAATGTAGCATTTGAGTAACCTTCAAACTTTTCTAAGTTAGAAGGTCCATAAAAACTGCTGTAGTTTTATTCATATACAGCATTAACAAAATATTAATCATTGCATTCTGTCGATCTTTGTATAATACATGCACATCATGGGTATCAACCTTCCCTATTTCTGTTTTTCTTCCATCTATCCATGTTCTGACATTACAATAAACATTTTAAGACTTTAAAGAGATTAGTGCAGTGTTGTCACATCCCAATCATTTTCTTTTTCTTTTTTTTTTTATTGAAAAAGTTTTCAAATACAAGTTTTCCCCCCTTTCCCCCCTTCTTCCCTACCCCCCCCTCACCACCCATCCCCCCCTGTGACTTCTTCTTCACAACAATAAGCTAATTCATAATTAATTACATAATATTTTACCATGCCCTTACTCACTCCTCAAAGTACTGACCCTTAGCATAATATTCTTATAACTCCGCTTTTCTCCGCTTTTCGCAATAATCTACCCTTTTTCTCCTCCCCCAAACTTATAAAATATTATTATTATTACAACAACATAACCTTTAATCTTTTATATATATTAATATAACATTTCAAAGCAGCCTTCTCCAAATTTAACATTTATTCAGTTCTATCCAATTCTTCCACTCCCCAAAATATATGACTTAAAAATCCTTTTTCTTAAACTAATCAATCACTAAACTAGCCTATTTCAACCCAGTTTCCTGCAAGATTACCATACACTACAATTCTAAATAATTCTAAATATAATCCACTGCCCACTCTGCTAAAATATACATATGTCTATATATACATTCCATTTTATAAAAAGAGAAAAGACAATAACTTTAAATTTATAATTCATTTAGTATCTTCTTTGATGTCTTTCCACTAGATTGTTAAATCCATCATCCATAATAGGGTAACATAGCATCCTGGTGCAACAGTTTATTCAAAATCTTCAGTCATCTTCTGCCCCCATCAATAATGAATATCCTCATGTATATATAAAAGTAAAAACAACCACCCGAGTGACATTATAATTATATTCCATATAGTTGTAATTGTGGTTTTCATCAGGATTATAAATTCCCATCATCTTAGTGGGTAACAGCCAGATCTTCTGCATGCCCCAGCATGACTCTTTTGCCTTGTAACTCAAAATAGTTATAATATATTTATCGGTAAAAGAAATCCAAAATAGATAGTTCAAATCCAACAATGTAAGGCTCTTTCCACATCCCAAAATCACGGCATTGCAGAGATCTGCCACTTTCCTCAAGATAGTATTAAACGATAATTCGCCTCCAATATCTTTTCACATATTCATTTATTTTTTAAAATCCCTGGCTTCACTGTTGCTTGGTTTAGAAACTACTATTTCTACGAGATCTGTTTCTTTTCTTTTTCTTTTTCGGGTTGCATTTCCATCCAGATTTCCTTCCTACAAGTTGTGTATCAGCTGATCGGTTGTCATTCTGCTTTGTAAATTGATCTTGTTGGTTTTGTTTTATTATCTCATATGTCTTTTCCATCACTTGTATATCAACTGGTTGATTTACGCACTTGTCTGTAACTTGATAATTCATCACATTAGAATCAGATGACACTGCTCTCAAATTTATAGACAGTCCAGCTGGGGTATCCAAGGAGTCCGAAGACAGTTTATCTACCACAGCCTCTGTAATTTGATGTTTTCCCTTTATTTCCAACTCCTTTTGCTTGTCCTGTGTTATGCCTAAAGATGTTAAATTTATTTTTAAAATTTTTTGATAAAATTCTTCCGCTTTTTCGACAGTATTCAGTTGGTATCTTACTCCTTGGTGTCTCAATATTAAACCAACTGGGACGTCCCACCTAAATAGAATATTCCTTTTTTTTAACTCATTCACTAGAAAACCAAATTTCTTCCTCTCCATTAACATCTTGGGCGGGAGTTCCTTAAAAATCCAAATCTTTCTTCCACGAAATTGCAAAGTAGAATCATAAGAATTCTGCACAATATTATTTCTAATTTCTTTGTCTATAAAATAAATCACCACATCTCTAGGCAATTGCCTTTGTTTTGCCAACCAGGAGTTTATTCTATAAATTCTGTCAATCCTGCAAAACACTTCATCAGGTTGAACCTTTAAAATCCCAGCCAGAATTTCAGAAGATATCTTCCTTAAATCATCTCTGTCATTTTCCTGCAGACCTCTCAGTCTAATTGCATATTCTGTAAAATTGTGTTGGATCATTAAAACTTCTCTTTCAATCCTCTGTTGTACATTTTCTTCATTACCAGTCTTTTGGTCAGCCTCCATTTTAAGTTTGTCTTCTGAGCTATTATCCTGAGTGTTTGCCAAATCCTTTTTAATTTTTTGGATCTTGTCATCCAAATTCTCCTCAGTTTCTTTCATTTTAGACTCTAATAATTTAGTATTTGCTTCCAACTGAATCACAAAGTCTGCTAAGCCATTAGCTGTTTTTAAAATCTTTCGATCCAAAAAGCCAAACTTAGATTTCACCAATTCACCAATTTCTTTGATTTCCAACTTAAATTTTTCAAGTTGCTGATTCACAATCTCATCCCTTCTTACAATCTCCTCAAGAAGAAATTCTATTATATTAAAGTCAGGTTTCTGAGACTGGAGAGTTAAAACTTGTTGATGTAATTTATTAATGGGGGAATCCCCCCCCACTGCCTGTTTGTCTAGCTTTATAAGTCTCAGTGCCATTTTTCCACGCAGACAAAATTTACTGGAAAAGAGAAAAAAAAAACTTTTTCCAACCAAGATCAATATCAGATCCCCAAGGAAAAAAAAAGGAAAAAAAAACAAAAGTGAGTGAGGTTTTGCCTTCAGTTACAGCCAAAAGTATTCATTCCGCTACTTTGTAATTGAAAACGGAAGGAGTTTCCCTTTCAGCCTCTCTTCAAGCCGCAGCAGCAATCGCCATTTTAAAAAAACTTTTTTCCCTTCACTTCACTTCTTAGGCAAAATAGAATAAAAAGAATACTTGCGCTTCAGGATCAGAGGTCCAGCTCATATCTTCTTTAATTAATTTATTTGACAGATTTACAGGCTTGCTTCTGCCCCCTAGCTCTGCGTGTAGCAGAGATTTCCCAGAGCCCGGAGCATCGGCTGGGGATACGGGGAGTCTCTTCCGCTCCCTCCCAAAAGTAAATAAAAAACTTTTGGGATTAGGCAGAGGACTCTACCCACCCCAGCCGGCTCTATCTCCGTTTCCTAATGGAAACGGAGTTTTTTCGAGCCGCCATTCCGCTGAAAAAGGCGGCTCTTACAGGCAGTGGGTTCGACGATCCCGAAGGAGCGTCCAGCGGGGACAAGCAGCAAACCGGAAGTCCCCAATCATTTTCTTCAACGGTCCATCAAATTAGAAAAAATCTGAATTCAAGGTAGCTGAAGTATTTACATGGAAATCAGCAGACTCATTTTTACATCCACTTCTATTAACAACCCAGAATATGAGAATGGTAGTTTATGCAGACTCAGCCTTAAGAAGCTTTCTTTTTATTTAAAAAAGTCTTGAGAAAAGGAAAACGATGTTATCCATTCAGTTGTGTCTGACTCTTGGTGATTCTATGGACCAGATCTCTCTATTTTCTATGTTCTGGTTGGTGTCAGCTTTGATGGTGTTTAGACACCATGTTCTTTGGCGGCTTGCTTTGCTTTATCACTAACTCTTCCCAGCATAATTGCTTTCGCTAGTGAATTCCCTCACATGACATGGCCAAAGTAAGTGAGACACAGATTTGTGATTTTGCCAAAAGGGAAAAATGGTAGCAAAATCACATCTCCCATGTCCTTACCAAATAATATCATATACCACGTGATTTTTTAAAAAAATAATTAAAAAATCCAAGCTAGTAGATGAAAAGTCCACAATGAAACTAAATTGTTGTGTAAAGTTTTCTGAAGCACAGATCTTACCTAGTGTCCAGGTTGCTTCATCAGCTATTGTAGAGTCAAATAGATTACCCTGGAAAATAAAAATAAAAATATAGGAGCCCAGTTTCAAAAGAAAATATTATAGATTTATAATATTTGAATGTCACACAAATTGGTTACAGAAATATAGTTTTGCATATAATTTTGTAAACTTTGAATAAATATTAAGATTTAGTATATCATCAAAAAGGTCAGATTGCTTAACAGTACTATTATAGCATAAGAGGAGGCCACATTTTTAACAGATTTGGCTATTTTAATTGACGTCTTTGAAGATCCTAATGTACTAAAATTCCAAGCTTAATTATGCCCATTTGTTTTTTCTTTCATTTGAACGCTATCCTTCTAAAATGGGAAGTTTTAATTCCAAATTAGATCTCTTTTGGAAAGGAGAAAGAAATGATTAAGTTGTCAACTGTTTAGTGACACCTAAGGTGATAGACAGGTTTTTAATTCTGAAGCCATAATTCCAAAGATAGTGAATGAATCAGCACACATGATTGTAGTCTGGGTGCTTGGAAATGTGTTTACATTTATGATCAGTTTCTAAGTGCCCCACAATTGTGGGATCACCATTTGCAATCGTCTTCACTGGTTTTCCCAGAAATTCATTGGGAAAGTCAGCAGGGAAGGTTACAATCTGCTATCGCCTGCCAAGAGGACTCTCACTTGTTTCTGGGCCGGCTGAAAAGACTTCCTTCTGAAGAATTTCAGCTTTGTGCCTGCTTGGATTGCAGCAGGCAAGATTTTCAGCTTCCTGATTTGCAAAATACTGGAAAAATGAGCATACTTCACCAAATGAGGATATAATTTGTAAAATGTTAGACTGTGTTGAGATGGACAGACTGACTTTAAAAATAAAAGACAAGGATGACACAGAATATTACGTGATATGGAATAGATTTTATGGGTGGTTAGAGATAAGAGGTAGAAATTAGATGAAGGAAGATTATTGCTACGTATGAATTAAAGATAAAGATGGTTTATAACTATAAATATGCCAATATATTTAACAGAATTATAAATAACCCAATATAAAGAGAAGTTTAGCCAAATTACTCTGTTATATTATCACGACTGTTACCAATATATGCCTTTTCTTTGTTTTTCTTTTGTAAATGATATACCCTGACAATACACTGTATTCAAAATGTTTATGAATAAAAAAAAGATTTAAAAAAAGCAAATGTCTTAGAGAGAGGGAATAAAGGAGTTTGGAAGTTAAAAAAAAACATTTTCAGCTCCTGAGTTGAGAAGCAATGAGATAAAGTATAGAGGACAAGGTGTTTGGGGTGCTTGGGGGAAGCCCTAGGAAACCCAGTCCAGGCTGCAGTGTCCCTTTACTTGGTTGATGAGAATCCTTTCTGAATTTTGGCAGGGAGGAATTTCATCTCATAATCAGAAAGAGACTCGCTTGTAGTCTGTGCAAGGCCTTCCCCAACCCCAAAGCAAACCTGTTCCCTACCTCATACTATATCTGTTTAACATCCTACAAGCTCATTTAACAATGCAGCCAGAAGTGTTGGGATTGTGGTCAACTGAGCAAAGCATTTATATGACATCTTAACAACTGCTTTATTAAATGACAGATGCCAATTGCAATTGGCATCTCCGAGGACTACCTGTTAGCACAAATGTTACATTTTAATCAGCTTGTCAAGACAGACTGGCATCTAAAAAGATTATACAACACAAATATTATTTATTCTTCTAAGTGTATTCTTGGCTTTACTGTTGGCTTTTTTTTGTCAATGGTAGACTAGAAATCTGAATTGTCTGCCTAAGATAGGAGACCCAGAAGCTTTTATCTCCAGTACTCAAGATAAGAGTGGGGCAATTAAACCAGAATTCTACATATTCTCCTGCGTATTCTACAGAATTCTCCTGGGTGAGCAGGGTATTGGTCTAGATGACCTCCAAGGTCCCTTCCAACTCTGTTACTGTTAAAGATCCATATAAACTGTTTTCTTCAATTTTTTTTTTAACTAATCAATGTGACCAGACCACAAGTTTCCCTTGAGATAAGTCCCTGCAGTTTTCGTGGCAATGTTTTCAGAAGTAGCTTGTCATTGCCTGCTTTCTAGGGGTGAGAGTGAGCGACCGGTTCAAAGTCACCCAATTGGCTTCGTGTTTAAGGCAGGACTCACAGATTCCTGGTTTCTAGGGGAAATGATAAAATGACGATAAAAACGATTTATTGGCAAATCACTTCCAAAATCGTGGCAACTAAACTGCAGGGCATTATCCAGGCAGTCACCAGACCAAGATTGTGTGCATAAACACGCCAACGTGCCTACCGTCCCTTTTTATTTGTATCCATTTTATGTATTCATAATCATGTTTGTACTTTTATCTGTTATCTTATATGCTTAAATAAATTGACTCAAACACACACACACACACCCCTCTTCCCTGCCCCGCCAAAAAAGTTCAGCATAGCTGAACATAGGAAGCATTAAGCAAAACTCAATACGAGACCACACAGCACTGAGTCTGTGCTACGCCCTCCCATGTCACATCATCACCATCATAACTTTATTGTCATTGTACATGTATACACAGTATACCCATACAACGAAATTCACTTAACACCCAAAGACCAGGTCCAACACACATTACAATCCCCAAACAGCTCCCCCCAACACCCACCACAAATTCCCCACCCCTAAACCACCCAAACATCCACACAACAGGCCAAGTAATGCTGTCCAACAGCTCACTGATGGTGACCCTTTAGCTGAGTGCAATTATAGCTCTGGGATAAAAAAAACTATTCAGGAAACGTGTGGTCCGAGTTTTAACTTATTTATTTTATGTTATTTATAAATATTATATATTTATATTAATTTAATAATCACGAGGACTAAACTGAAGTAGCATGGAAGGAAATGATGGGTGTGTGTGTGTGTGTGTGTGTGTGTGTGTCTCTCTCTCTCCCGTTTTGCAGAGGTACCTTGAGCACCTCCTTCCCCGCTACGGTCAAAGCCAAGTGGCGGCTCTTCAGGCTGCATTCCACGTCCCGCGCGCGGGTCCCTTGCGGCACGTTCACTTCAACGAAGACCTCTTCCATGGTTTGATACCAGCGTCCCCAGGGAGTGGCGCAGGGCACAAGCCCGCTCCGCTCTTCGAACGGCGCAGACATCTACTTGGCCGCCTAAGCCTGAAAAAGACGCATGCGCCTTTGCCCGGCTGCCTCTAGGCCGATCTCCTTCGGAACTATTTCAGTAGAAAGCGCGAGGCCAAGCATGCCAGGCTTCCGCCAGCTTCTTACGACACCGCCCCTAGATCCAGAACAGGGACAAAAAGTGTAGAGTGCGCGTTTCACAACTGATCACAGCACAATCTATCCTTTTGTGTGGGAACAGCTGGTTTAAGCTTCTAGTTGTTTTCCCTCTATGTGTTTTCATTTCATTTATGAATGAAAAACCTTTAAGTCAGGCAATACGACAGCCTGTCAAGAACTACTGAGAGACGATACGGTCAACCGAGACTGAGAAAGCCTTATTGCTATCCACTACGTTTGGTCAATTTTGTTTGCCCAGCGCTAGTAAAAAAAAAGAATATGCGTAGATACACGGGCCGCTTTAAAATAAAATCACACTTAATTTTGCTGTTCACTCAGAACAATAATATTTTGCGTGAAGAAAGGGTTTAGAAACAATGCTTCGGTACTATAATCACGTACGTTACTCTTGATCGAGAGATGTTTTGAAGTTAAATTCCCAAAATCATTGACTGGCCAGCAGATTATGAGTTCAAACAAGATTGATTTGGAAGTAAAAACACGGCAAGCTGGGGAAACTTGCTAAATGTATTCCACAATCTAATTGACGTGTTACAAGCTGCATTCTATGTGCACAGTATAAAATGCATTTACATTTGACAACATAAAATGCTTTATTGAAAACCGGAGTTTATCCTTAAGAGAAAAAAAAAAGCAGGTCTAAAATATGTTAAATACTCATTTTACTTTACAACCTCAAACTGTTAATCATTTCTGTTCACATTTCATTGCACTCAGTATGGGAGCCTAAAATCATATCGCACCATGCCTAGCTTCGCAATCTTTATTATCATACTCTTATATTACTTCTTAAAGATCTATTACCTAATTATCTATCCGGCCACCTACGGCGCATGCTCCACCGTGAAGACCTGATTTGTTGACTAACTGGTTGGTCGAATTCTCCGATTGGCTGATTCGGGCGTGCCTGAAAGCGGGCGGGATCCTGTTCAATTTTTGAATTTGTTCTGGGCGTTCTGGCTGTGGGAAGCTGCGGACTGGCTATGTCTTTTCCGAAGGCTCCGATCAAGCGCTTCAATGAGGCACCAAGTAAGTGAATGGGTGCTGGGCCATGGTTTGTTTTTCCAGAGGCTGTGGTTGCTCTTCCGAAGAAAAAGATCTTTGAAAATATATTTTTCGAGCATGATGGAAAATATGCGCGGTAACGTGTTATACCTCTCCTTCCGCCTTACTTTGCTGCACTTCTGTGCAACCTTCCAAAGGAATGGTAAATTGCACGAAGTTACCTTCTTGACATGTTTAGGGTATCATTATTATATCACAGTTATTATCTCACAGTGACTGTGAGAGGGATCTTGGAGTCTTAGTGGACAATCAGCTAAATAGGAGCCAGCAGTGTGCAGCTAAAAAAGCCAATGCAATCCTAAATTGCATTAACAGAGGGATACAATGAAGATCAAGTGAGGTACTAATTCCACTCTATAAAGCCCTAGTGCAGGAGTCAGCAAACTGCGGCTCCGGAGCCACATGTGGCTCTTTGGGCCCTCTGCTGTGGCTCCCTGTTAGATGATCCTACCACTGGCCGGCCCCGCCCCTCGCCTCCCAGTTACTCCTCACCTGGCCTAAGAAGTAAGAGCGACAGCGGGGGATGGAGAAACAGCCAGGGCAGAGACAGAGATACAGAGAGAGGGGGAAGAGAGGAGGGGAGACAGATGTCAAAAGGGTTTTGTGGTTCCTGGTGTTTTTTAACAACCAATTCTCTGCCCTAATGACCGGCTGGGTAGGTGTGACTAGGGGAGGGGTCATGTGACTGGTGGAAGTGAGTGACATCGAGTTGGCCACACCCATCCAGGTTTTGTGGCTTCTGGTGTTTTCTTTACTGTGGGAAATGGGTCCAAATGGCTCTTTGAGTATTTAAGGTTGCAGACCCCTGCCCTAGTAAGACCACACCTAGAGTACTGCATCCAGTTTTGGTCACCACATTATAAAAAAGATGTTGAGACTCTAGAAAAAGTGCAGAGGAGAGCAACCAAGATGATTAGGGAACTAGAGACTAAAACATATGAAGAACGGTTACATGAACTGGGCATGGCTATTCTAGTGAAGAGAAGGACTAGGGGAGACATGATAGCAGTGTTCCAATATTTGAGGGGTTGCCACAGAGGGGGTCAAAGCACCTGAGGGACAAGAAATAATGGATGGAAACTGAACAAGGAGAGATTCAAACTAGAAATCAGGAGGAACTTTCTGACAGAACAATCAACCAATGGAACAGCTTGCCTTCAGAAGTTGTGGGAGCTTCATCACTTGAGACTTTCAAGAAAAGATTGGACTGCCATTTGTCAGAAATGGTATAGGGTCTCCTGTTTGAGCGGGGGAGAGGGGGTTTGGACTAGATGACCTATAAGGTCCCTTGTTAATCTGTTAATCACCATTTCCTTCCTCTATCATGTCCTTATCCAATTCAGAGCTTTCCTAATGAAGTGGATTATAACTCCCATTATCACCAACAAGCATTACCATTGGCCTGTAGAGGAACAGGATACTAAAGCATTGCTGGAAAAAAAATATATTGGAATTGCTTGGCCCTAATGCACTAGGATAGTGCTATGATCAATGTTAGTAGGTGAAAAGATTGAAAAAGGAGGTGCCTGCTTATCCCATGATAAACTACAGATTTTTTTTTTAAAAAATCTATTTTGCATCATATTTTCACAGTGAACAATTGCAAACCTCATGAAAAAAGTAGAGCTCAAACAGATCATTCATTTGCTGGTAGGTCAGAAGGAAAGAAAAAGAAAAATCCATTTCAATAGGACGCTTTAGTGTGTCCAGCTCTGGAAATGGTGCAACAATGGTTATTAGGTTCCTTCCCACCTCTCCAGTCCACATGAGCAGTGGAATTAAATGGAAAGAGATGGAAATGTACAATGTAGGTTTGATCTTGTTCAATAGTAACCGATAATGAAAGGCCCAGTTAGAAATTTAGGATGGTAAAAATTTGTCTCTTTTGAGCTGAATTTAATTTCATGGCAACATTTTACAAGTGGTTTGTTATTGCATTCTGGATTTTTTTTAAAAAAAATCTCAGCTTTGATATTCCTTGAAGTTTCCTACTTAGGTTGTAATCAGACATAACCCTGATTAGTTCCAAGCCAAGACAAGGTCAGAGCTAGATAATAGGGAGTTTCCTGTTGTTTTAATATCACAAATCCAATGCAATCCTTGGCAGTTGTGCAATCACATTCCAGAGGCCTGGAATGTACCATTAGTAGCTGAAATCTCAGGAAATATCTTGTATTCTAGCTGTGAATACAAGATTGCTAACAAAATAAATCTTCAAACGAAATGACCTTTCTTCTGAAGGAAGAAATCAGGGTTCCCAATAATGTGTGAAATCTCAGTTGTGTATATTGTTAGACTGAGACATGCTTATCACTCTCTTAAGTTTGGTGGCATTTTCTCCTTTCTGAGGCATTAATCTATTCCTTAAGTAGCCATATAGGCTGTTCATGTGCAAGCTATTGGCTGCTGTAGGGGTCATAGCTAGCCTTGTAGGTTTTCTGAGTCAAGCTTGGTTGAAGCTTGGGCTTGGTTGAAGCTTGAAGGGGCTTATTGCGCAGTTCCTATTGTGGCTGAATGGCTTTTCCCTGAAGGATAATCCCATCATCCTGGAGCTGAAGGTCTTTTGTTTTGTGGATAGGCTGCCTCAGTCTTTCTTAATGGGCACCAAATATCTGCTGGGAGCAGGGAGTTTCTGTCTCCCTTAAGATTTTCATTTCTCTTTTAGGGGAAATATAATATTCTGCCTTTTTAAATATTTCTCAAAATGTTTCATTCTTCTAGGAAGGATGACTTCCCTCAGTCTCAAGTTATATTTTTTGGAACAGATACAATTTACCTTCTCTCCCTGTGATGGGGGCATTTTATTAAGAGTTCATAAATATTCAAAGGTATCTTTTATATTTAGTGGAACCATGAAAACAAGGAAAAAAACCCCACAAAATAAATATGAATTTAAGTTAAATATAATCATTCTAATAGATTATTTTTTTAAAAAAGTAATTAAACTTATTGTAACTGGGGCTCTGACTTTGATTAATATCTGTCTCCTACGCACATCTCTAGCTTGTGCCCCACCACCCGGCTCTTATGATATCAAAACTTCAGACCCATCAAAAGGACCCGTGTCTTTTGAAAAGTCTCAACGATTCAAGATGCAGATGGGTAAGTAATTGGGTTATGAATGGCAATGGCTTTTGCAAAGTTTTTTCATCAGCTTTTTACTTGTATGTACAGTTGCTTGTTTGTGTCTGGAGATAGTCTGCTTTTAATTTACATTGCAGTTTGATCATGTGTAGCAGTTGAATGTTGAAGAACACCTTATTCACTGGGGTATCTTTCCTGATTTATCTCCTCTGTAACAACCCTTGGCAAACATAGCAGGACTTATTTCCTATCAAATTCTAGGAACTAAGAATTAAGCAGTGAGTGGCAAAATGAGGCTCAATGCAGTGTCTAACTTGATCAGTTGGCAACCTTACGTCAAGATTGTTGTTTCTTAAGCTCAAGAGATAGAATGGGATAGAGATAAACAAGTTCATCCACAGCTAGTTATCAACCTGACAGTGAAATAATATGAAAACAACAAAATTCAGAATGCACTATGTAACAGTACAGTGAGTAATTTAATTTTTTTTTAAAAAAAAATACGACATAATTGGCATTTATTTTTTAAATTTGAAATTGCTGAAATGATTCTAAATAGTATTAGCACCCTTAACTATGTGTCTTATATAAATAACTGTTTATGTTTGACTATTCTACTTTTAAATAAGGTAATCCTTGACTTAACAACAATTCATTTAGTGACCATTTGAGTTACAATGGCACTGAAAAAAATGACTTATGATCATTTTTCACATTTACGACTGTTGCA